CCCCAAAACCCCAAAACCCCAAAACCCCAAAACCCCATATTTCATTAAAATTATTGAAAATGGAAAGTCAATTCGAGTTTAATCCCAAACAATATTTGACCCAGCATACGCTCAACAGGAAACTGAGGTAGTGTTTTAGAACATTTTGTGGAGATTTTTGGCGAAATAATAAGGTAAATTTGTTACTCTAGGAGGAGAAATGTTAGTACCAGCCATTTAGACACCAGCTCTGATACAAGCAGTAAGGAATTACTTCATTCGTGGTTTATACTTCATTGCACATTTGGGTTATAATGAATAGAAAGTAGGATAAACCTGATCAATGACAGTGACTTTATTAACAAGATCTCTATTTTTAATAACTAAAAAGCTTTCCAAAAAGAGAACACTAAAAATGGATCGTACTTCAAGGTGATGATATGTAGGTGAGAAGCTACAAGGAAGTATCATGGGAAATTCTAAGTTTGCGGCAGCAAGAATGGACACTGAAATGGAAAAGATCTGGAATGATCCCCTCAACTATGGTAAACCTCCTCCCAAAATTTTCAAATTTAAAACAAAGTACACTGATGAAGTAGAAATTATGTTGTCTGATTTTTAGGAAGTTTATCCAAAGGATCTCCCTCCAACCCAGAAATATGTCAGATTAAACTTAGAAGACAAGGAGTATATGAAGTTGTTCATGCAAAACAACCCTGTTCATGATAATGATAGGGAAAAGGCTAGCAGTATTGCCCACAATATCTCATATAACCAAGAAGTGGTCGATACAAACCCGTATTTTGGTCATATGAAGATCCATGAGAATGAAATTTATTTGTCTAAATAAGGAGATGTACAGGTAAGCACTAACTGAGAGGTTCTAATGGATCATCACCTATATCCCCTTCTATCACTCCTGCTAAACTTGTCTAGCATGGGTCAGTACTCAGAGGAGAAAATCCACGAAAATCCTTACACATCACAGGTCAAAATACATGCGCTGTTGAAATAAATGGAAAGCCAAGAAATTGTATGTTTTCAAAAGATGTCAAATTTCTGCTCTGAAATATACTCAAAAATATAGCTGATTCTGCTCTGTCCAAGCCTCCCCTCACAGTATCTAAAATTATTTAGGAACTCAGACTACACAGGATCATTTCTAGACCTGAATTTAATGGAGCAGGACTCAGAATCTCGGGTATCAAGGAGAAGGTATTGGCTCATCTTCAACCTGTAGTCTTGCAAAGAAGAGGAGGAATGCTCCGAAGTGGTCTTCAAGCAAGAACATAATCTTGGCAGATGACACCAGTAAATTCTCCAATAACGTCTAGCTAATAATATAATTGAGAGGAATAACGAAGGTAACCTAGTTTTTCATTAAATTATTTCTTTGGGGTTTTGCCAAAATGGCTTGAACGCTGGTAGATTTGAGAACACTTCCTGTCTACAGAAAGGAACAAGAAGTCAAACTCCCCCAAGACCCAAGTGATTTTGAGCAAGTGTTGGTGAAGATGAAACGACGAGATCTGAATAGTACCACTCAACCTAAAATTGTAAGTTTTAGCTTGGCCAAATATAAATTCAGCAGATTTGGGTTAACTTCAATAGGAAAATGACAAGCAAGGATTGTTCAAAGAGGGTCCTGGGAATGAATTCATACTAAATCCCAAAGAAACCCAAGCTGTTGACCCTACAAGGGCAGATACAGTGACTTCTACATCAAAGATAGACCCTTCAGATAGCCTCTTCGATTCCTTCACAAATGTCATGGGTCAAGATTTTAGAGGATTCCAAGAAGAAAAATTAAAATAAATATCTGAAAGAAGCCTTCTGAGAAAATGGCAAGAGCCAATTTTTCAAATCTAGTTGCAAAAACTAAAAAGAAAGTTGAAGATATGTCAGATCTGGATAGAATCAGAATTATTAGAGATAAAGTAAATAAACACATTATTATCAGCTTCAAATATTATTGGCTAAGAGACGAAGTCACTCGTTAGAAATATTAGAAGAGGACGAAGATAGCGAGAAATCAATTTTAGTAAATATTATACATAAATTCAGCAAACCTCAAAAACTAAAAAGAGGAACAAAAGCATTGACCCAAAGCGTAGTATCAGTAACTCAAGCACAACATATCTGTACCCCAATGTCATAACCTCTAGTCACAAAAAGTCAATTTCAACTGCAAATCTGTAAATACCCAAAATTTCAACCTTAGAAATTCCCAAATTCCCAAAACTACCAACCCAAGATCCCTCCCTAAGGATCATCCAACCTCAGTGCCCAAAAATCGGCCTAATCAATGGTAACAACTCTTCTAAATTTCCAAAATTTCCACCCAAAATGCCATTTCTGAACCCAATTTTTCCTTATTTCTTCACAAATTTCCAAATTTTTCTTCGTAAAAATTTTTTGTTCTGGAATTTTAGCCTGGAGTGCTGATCTTTAGGGGAATTTTATGTGGAGATTTTGTATGTGATGAGGCTTTAGGTTGACGAAGGAGGTGTTGGAGGGGAAGAGAGGGAGGAGTGGCTTAGGGGTGAGGAAGATGAGGGGAGTGAAGAGAGTGAAGACAGAGAAGGTTTTGGAAAAGTTGAAGCAGGTTGGAAAAGGTAAGGTTTTGGAGGAGGGAGGGGTATTGAAGGTATCGCTACACTCTCAGCTCACTTCTCCGCTCACATTGCTCCTAATAATTTAAAATTTTGCTTGGAGCCAGTGGCCGAGCAGAAGGAATTTTGAGCTGACTTGTTAATTTTATGAATTTGACCGGATTTTTGGGTTACGATCTAAGTTAAAAGTGGTGTGGTTTAGACTTGAAGGTAGTGCTGAATAGGAATTTTGGAAGAGAGAAAGGGCTTATTAAGAAATTGGGGAGGACTTGTGAAGAGATTGAAGAGGATATGCCCATTGTGAGGAGAGGTTTAATGGTTTAGGTTGAGTTAGAGAGGGATAATGTGAAAGGAGCTCTTGAGTATTATCAGCGTAAGTGGGTGGTTTATGAGTGTGTAGGAAGCAAAGCGACTAGAAATAAGTAAAACAATTGGCTATAGGTGTAGGACAATCGATTTTTCGAAAAGGAATCCATCATGAACTAAAATTGACAAAACAGACCAAATATTAGATGAGTAAGTATAAAATTATATAGATAGGCTACATTGGTTTAACCAAATGCACGGAACCACTGATCCAGACAAGTTCTTTATGAAGGATATTATAGGATATGACGGAGACTTCAATCATAAATGCAAATCCTGGATGCTAAAGTAAGCCATATCTCTCCTCCCCTGTGCTATCCCCAAATAGGAGCCTCAAGAACATTAAATACAAAGACCAAAGCAAGGACTACTTCGGCTGCAAGCCCAACAGAAACGTCTCCAAAATAGACCTGCTATAACCACATTTCAATCCTTCTAAATTCCAAAGGGTTTTGGGGGTTTTGGGGTTTTGGGG